TCATTGCCGCGCGATATTTGATACGATAAGGTTGTATCGGTAGGCTGTCGTAATTAAAGTCCTGTTAATTTCTTAACATATCTTTTACTATTATGCAGCAATACGTTTTTTTTTCTACAATATTACATTCTATAATAATTACTACTGTACGACGTAATTGCCCACATTGCAAAACAACCGCACGTGTCGTTTACACTTAAAGAGTAGCTGATTACGATCGCGCAGTAATTACTCTCCGACACACGTGGCTACGCGCACCGTAAATTAATTCTGCGGACGGTGTAATGCCACGTACACGGCGCTATATAGTCTCGATTAAGACGTTCGGTCACGAAATACGGAGGTCAATGATATTACAAATTATCTCTATTCACTGGTGAATCCACGGGGGAGATCCATGGTCCACACACACCCTTGGAGTCTTTTTTTTAAATATTTATGCAATGTTATATATATTTTTAATATTTTTGAAATGCGTAATCATATTTTTAATTCCAAAAATATTTTTTTAATTTAAGAAACTCCTACAGATATAAAATATATATATATATATACATAGATTATATTATTCTTTTTTTCATACTAACATAATTTTAAAAAAAGTAAAACGGTTTAAGAATACTTAAACATTTAAATATAATACTTATTTAATATAATACCACCAATAATTTAAATATACTATCTTTTCATATTTGATTTAAAAGAAAATTTTGCTTCCGGCACGCCAATGGCTCCTTCCCCTTGATAAATTTCTGAATCCTCCTTGATTATGATTATCAGTGATGCGAGGACACCCGGAATATCGTTCGATAAACCGAACGCCGTTCTTTCACGTCATTGCGTTTTGGGATAACTATTATACTCCTTCCGCATCTTCTCCTTTCTTTTTTTTTGCCTCGCGAAAGTCATCGGGAGTGCGATTCTTTAAAGTACAGCATTATAACGATACTATACCGTTAAGCGCGAGTATAGAAGGCACTAGGTCAGGAATTTGCTGCATTTTGATGCGAAGGAACATAAAATGCTCATCTCTACATTGCATATAAGAGCAGGTGCAGTGCGTCTCGGATGCCACTGCGTTCGAAGCGAAAACTGTAACGTATTACGTTTATCATTGAAATCGGCGCGCTGCACCTGCTCTTCGACTGTGAACCGATTTTAGGTGTAGAAACCCCCTGTTCCTAAGAAGAACCCAGGGGAGAGCTTTTCGAATTAAATGCGAAAGATGAATGTCGATTTCGTTCAATAAAATTAAGGGACATGCAATTATTGCGTAATAGTGATAGAATTTATTATATCCAGGGTTGGGTAAGTTAACTTTTTTTTTTAACTAAGTTAAGTTAAAGTTAACAGCCTTGAAAATTTATCTTGATTAAAATACAAGTTAATCCATAATGAAATTAATTGAATTAAAAGTTAAGTTAATAAAAAAAGTAATTGAAAAGTTAAATTTGATCCGAACGAACAACCAAAAAAAAAAGAAAAAGAAAAAGTTCGACCATTATACATAATTTTTCGTTATTTTTCCTTTCTCACAGCATATTCATTAAAGAATCTGGTTATTTTTGTTCACGTAATGATTATACAATATAAAATTATTAAATTATATACTTATTATCCTCTCGCATTGTGTCTGAGGATTAATTTAAAAAAAATCAAATTAAAAGTTAATAGTTACCGATAAAATGTAACTAAATTAAATTAAAAAGTTAAGAGTCTAAAATGTAACTAAGTTAAGTTAAAATTAATTAACTTTTTAACTTTTTAACTTAACTTTTATCTTTTTAATTCACTACCCAACCCTGATTATATCCAATGTATATCTCTCAGAAATAATACCCTCGGTGTTTTACAATAATATAAGAATTCCGTTCGTATGAGAAGAGTTGACAAAAAAGACGCGATAAAATCGACGAACATTCAATTATTGCATAACACACTGAAAAAAAATCCTGGTTAAAAATGGACAAATCAGAAAATTTTGATCATATATCAATCAGAATTCTAGTTATGTCAACCAAAATATAAACAATTACAATTCTACACAGAGAGAAAAATGTTTGGTATTTGTAACTATAATTATATATTACTATAATTATGATTATTACTACTATAATAATAATAA